TTTGTGAGCCAGAACTCAGTGTTTTGTTGGCACTCCTGGCAGGAAGCCTCCTTTGAGTACCTGCAGAACGAGGGTGAGCGTTTGCTGCTGGAGGCCATGGACGAGCTGGAGGTGGCCTTCAACAACACCAACGTGCGCACGGACTGCAACCACATCTTCCTCAACTTCGTGCCCACCGTCATCATGGACCCCTCCAAGGTGGGACCTCCTGCCCAGCTTGTCCTTCCAGGGCTTCACTTGTCACAACTAAAATGTTTTCTGTTCATAGAATCATAGAATCATGGAGTGGTTTGGGTGGAAGGGACCTTGAAGCTCATCCTGTTCCAACCCTGCACTTCCACTGTCCCAAGCCCCATCCAACCTTTTGGATGAACCTTTCCTTGAACACTTCCAGCCTTTGCCAGGTCCTCCCCACCCTCATAATCAGGAATTCCTTCCCAATGTCCCACCCATCCCTGCCCTCTGGCACTTTAAAGCCGTTTTGTTGTGCAGCTCAGCTCCTCTGTGTAAACTGAGGGACAATTATTGGAAATATGTTTTGTGTTTGAAACCAAACCCATTTTTTCATTGTGTGTTTGAGGTAAACAGTTTTAATAAGGAAGCAGGTCTTCTGTTTGTTGCAAAGGTTGAGATTCCATCCAAATAAAACATGAGATAAATTAGGAGCTTAAAAAGAATCTGTAAATTCGGCTACAAAAGTGCCTCATTTTCAGTCCCTGGTGCAAAACCACAGAGATGAACGTTATAAATAAATGAACGTTAAGCTTTGTAGATGCACAAATGAAAGTGTTCAGGCATAAAGGAGGTTTGTGGCTAGCAGAACCACCACAAAACAAGTCCCAAACCCAGGCTGAACTTAGCTGGAAATCAGCATTCAGTTCATGGGTACCCAAAGATGAGAGCTGACCTTTCCTGAGGAGAACAGCCGAAAGTTATAAAGATGAATTGGGTATCAAAATAACTCTCTCTTGCTTGCTGACTTTTAAATCATGATTAAAAATTGGTGGGTTAAATCCCTTTTGGATGAGCCTTTCCTGGTGCATCCAGAGCTGTTGGTTCCCAGGAAGTTCAGAAGAAGCTGGAATATTCACCCCTGGGAGTTGGGCTGCCCTCAGATACAAACCATGACTTTTCCTTGAGCTGCTGTGCAAAAGAGACTTTTTTTTGGAAAAATGCTTAACCCAGCCTACAAATTGCCTTCTTTTAATATGTGCTTTGCCCACAGTGGTATTTTATAAAGTTTAATAGAAGAGCAGAAGGCCCAGCTCCAAGTGGTAATTGCTTTGTTGATTTAAAGCTCCGTGCAGGCAGTGAAATGTGATTATTGTGCATACAAGGGCTACAAAACTGCTTGCCAAGGATTTGGCTTCCCTGGATTCTGTAGCTCCCAGGTGTGAATGGTGCCTCTGCAGGGGAGGCAGGGGGTCTCTGTGCTAGGATGGGGTGGGCTGGTTGGGCTTGATGATTACCAAGGTCTTTTCCAACTTAACGTTAATGTGATTCTGTGTGCCATGAGGAAACAGGGATGTGAGTCCAGCACTGTCCCACTACATCAGTCCCCAGGTGGAGTTCCTGCCTGTCTCAAGGCTTAGGATGAGGAGGGACAGGTCACCAAGGTGCTGTCACTGCCCTGGGCACACTGTGCTGATGTCTGGGGCTTCTTCACCACCGTGGAGCGGTGGGATGGAGGGGACGCAGAGCAGTGATGGATCCAGGAAGAATCCCGGAATGGTTTAGGTTGGAAGGGATCTTAGAGCCCCTGGCCCAGGCAGGGCCACCTGCCAGCCCTGCTGAGGAAGTCAGAGAGCCCTGCTGAGGAAGTTTGAGAGCCCTGCTGAGGAAGGCTTTTCCCCCTGTGCAGATTGAGGAGTCGGTGCGCTCCATGGTGAGGCGCTACAGGAGCCACCTCCAGGAAGAATCCCAGAATGGTTTGGGTTGGAGGGGACCTTAGGGCCCATGTCACCACACCCTGGCCCAGTCAGGGCCATCTCCCAGCCCTGCTGAGGAAGGTTTTTCCCCCTTTTTCCCCCTTTTTCCCCCATGCAGATCGAGGAGTCGGTGCGCTCCATGGTGATGCGCTACGGCAGCCGCCTGTGGAAGCTGCGGGTGCTGCAGGCCGAGCTGAAGATCAACATCCGCCTGACGCCCACGGGCAAGGCCATCCCCATCCGCCTCTTCCTCACCAACGAGTCGGGCTACTACCTGGACATCAGCCTCTACAAGGAGGTGACAGACTCCAGGACGGGCCAGGTGCGTCCCTGAGGATGCAGGGCTGGGTGGGACCGTCGGGAAGGGGATGTGCTCCTTCCTCTGTGGGCTGTGGTGTTTCCAGGGAATCACGGAATGGTTTGGGTTGGGAAGCACCCTGGAGCTCATCCCATTCCAGCCCCCTGCCCTGGGCATGCATGCTGGAGTCCTGGGTGCTGGGAATTCTAAACTTTCTGTGCTGAAGAGCACGAGAAAATGGAGGCAATGCAGTGATGAAGTGGCACATCCTCACACGGACACCTTCCACTAGACCAGGTTGCTTCAAGCCCCATAATACATTTTAATTTAACACAAAATTGCCGTTCAGCTTAGCCAAAGGAAGGAGAATGGAAAGATAAACTTGCAGCAGCAGATGTGAAAGTGTGAGCAATTAAATCAGTCAGGATTTCTGGTTGTTTTGTGCCCTCAGTCATTTGGGCAGCTGTTTTCCCCAACAGTTTTCCTCAGAGTGCTCAAAAAAATACTAGAAGAGGAATCGCTGCTGATGCTCATCCTGTAGGTTGTAATAAAAAATATTATTAATTATACATTTATCTGAGCAGATAAAAGAAAATCTGTGAATGTGTCCTTTAAATTCTAAAGATATAAGGGATGACCTGGGTAGGAAGATGTAAAATTATGGAAGGTGCTTTTATATAATTTTTCTGAAGCGTAATGGGCTCTTTTGGAATGGTTGTGGCTGTTGTGGCATTTCTGTTTTCCGTGGTGTGGGAACAGTGTGGTTAACTGCAATACCTACATATGCTAAAATCCATGGAGCATGGGATGCATGGAAAATATTTAAATAGAGAAATGTTTACATCTCCCTCTGTAATCATCTCTCTGCCAGGCAGGAGAAGCAGCAGAATAAATCACTTGGGCGCTGTGAATGTAGCACACAAAGTGCTGAGTCACCTTTCTCCCCCTTTTTCCATTTAATTTTTCCAGTGCTGGCCGTGGAGTCCATCCAGCTCTGAGATCCCAGAGCAGATAGTGTCAGTGTGTTTTACCTCATTCCTGCCTTTGAGGGGAGATGAGGAAAGAAAAGAACATTTTAATAATCTCCAACAGCTCAGCTTAACCCTTGAGTTGGGTCAGTCACTTGTGAAGGTCACAAGTGAACTCTGAACTGATGAGCTTTGTTATTTAAAGCCTGGGGAATGGGCTCCTGTGGGTGTGTGAGGCTTTAGCTGCTTTCCAGTATTAAATTTGATTAGTTTTCCAGAATATTAGCCAGAATATTAATACTAACATTTTAGTAAAAAATATACTGATATTTTTTAGGAAGCTTCCCCCTCATGATGGAGGTTTATAGGCCGAGTTCAGATCTGGGGATTTTTTTCCTATGTTTTCAGAGGGTTCTTTTAAACTTAGAGAAATCTTTAAAAAAAAAAAAAAATCAGCTATTACTGATGTGCTGGGTACTTTCATGACTTCTGAAGAATGGGAGGATGGCTTCATGGTGACAGAATGACCCTGATCTCTTGTTTCTCAGTAGTGATAAGTGGTGGTGCTCAGCAGACTTCTCCAGTTCCCTTCAGAGCTGCTGTGGAGCTTCCCAGAGATTTAAGGAGAATTTCCAAGTGCAGATCCTGGCAGATCCCAAGACAGGCATTGCCACAAACACTCATTACCCTGAACAAATGCTTCTCCCATTAAAGAAGCTGCCTCCCAAATCAATGTTTGTGCAGCCTGAAGAGAGCATAAACTGCTGGTTTTATCTAAAAATAAAAATAGGCTTTACTGAATTTTGTGTAACTCTTCAATTAATTCCTCTTCAATTAGCCAAATTCTGTGAAACACATCCTGATCATGTCCTCTCTACCAGGTGTGTCCTGTTAAACAGGATTTGGGTTGTTTAAGGTGTTTTTATCCCATTTTTATCCCCTCCTGTTTCTCCCTTGGAAAGCTTCCCCTCCAAGTCCTGCCTGCCCAGAATATATAGTGCTGTGCAGCACGGCAGTTGATAATTCATGTTGCCACTCTGGGAAAATCTTTTAGACTTACAATATCAAAACTTCAAGCCCCATGACATATGCAAGTGCTGACCCGGCCGGCGGGCGCAGCCGCGGATCCCCGTCCGTAAATAACGGAGCTCTCCTGGCTGCTGCCAGCATGCCTGGGCACAGACAGGGCTCAGGGAGCTGCTGGGCACTGGGAGCTGCTCTCAGGGCCCAGTTGGTGCTGGGGATGTGGCTCTGTGTGCTCCTCGGGGATGGGCAGTGAGTGTGGGGCGGTGCAGTGATGGTCCTGAGGTGTCCCCAAAGGGCAGCAGTGAGTGATGGAGCCTGGCTGTGCCAGCCTTGCAGAGGGCAGGGACGAGGCTGGAGCAGCCTGGGGGTTTGCTGAGGGCTGGGTCAGCTCAGTGCTCAGAACCACCCCTGGTTTGTCCTGCAGATCATGTTCCAGGCGTATGGAGACAAGCAGGGGCCGCTCCACGGGATGCTGATCAACACTCCCTACGTGACCAAGGACCTGCTGCAGTCCAAGAGGTTCCAGGCTCAGACCTTGGGGACATCCTACGTCTATGACATTCCTGAGATGTTCAGGCAGGTGAGTGTTCCTTGGGCTCTCCTTGTTGCTCCTGTCTTTGCCATGCTGATTGTTGGGGGAGCCTGGAGCGGCTGCCAGTGGTCCCCAGGGATTATCAGCTATGGGTTGAATCTACTTTGAATGAAATTAGGATAAACTGGAGTTCCATCAATGGGTCAAACAGTGAAACATAAACCATCTCCCCTCTCTTGTTGCTGTTTGTTCTCCCACCTTGTCACCTGCCCTTCCTAGGAGGCATTTCTGATTTGCTGCTTCTATCCCAAACCACCTCATTCACATTTCACTTTGGGTGAAACTGTTTGACAATTCAAATCCCAGAGCAGGTGCTGTCCCTGGAGTGCTCTCAGTCACACTGGCAGGAGAGGGATATTTCAGGGTGTCCTGAGTTGGGAACAGCCCCAAATTCTGCTGGGAATACCACACTGGAGTAGATTGAAATATAAATATTAACATAGATATTTATGTTATATACAATGTAATGTTATTTTTATGTTATATATTATGTTATATATATATTATGTAGATATGTATGTTATATACAATAGAACATTATATTTACAATATATTTACAACAATATAACAAGATATACGATATAATGCAAGTTATATTTACATTATATATTATACAATGTAAACATTTATGTTTAAATTATATTTATATTAGTTATATCTATATTATATTTATACTATGTTTATATTATATATACAACTATGTATATTATATGTATATTATATATACAACTATATTTATACTATGTTTATATTATATAATACAACTATGTTTATATTATACTATTATGTAACAATATTATTATATTAATATAATATTACTATGGTTATAATAATATTATATTAATATAATATTATGGTTAAAATATTATTAATGTAAATATTAAATAGATTGAAATATCACTATTGATGTAGATATGTATATATTATATACAATATTACGGTACATTTATGATATATATGATGTAATGTCAATATAACTTGTTTTATATACTAGATAATGTAAATATTTATATTTAAATTATTATATTTATATATAATATAAATATATTATATACTTTATTTATATCTATATTATATTCATATTATGTAATATAACTATTTTTATATTATTATACTATTATATAACAATATTATTATATTAATATAATATTGTTATATTTATAATAATGTTAATGTAAATATTAAGTAGATTGAAATATCACTATTGAATACAAATATTTGTGGGTGGCGTTGCTAACAAGGGTTTCTCCTTGCCCCCAGTCTCTGATCAAGCTGTGGAACTCCATGAACGAGCACGCTGTCCTGCCCCCCGCCCCGCTGCCCTCGGACATCCTGACCTACACGGAGCTGGTGCTGGATGACCAGGGCCAGCTGGTGCACATGAACAGGCTGCCAGGAGGAAACGAGGCAAGTGCCCCTTCCCTGCCTGCTGCTGCTCCCTCCCTGCCCCTCAGGACCCCGTGCTTTGGGCTGGGTTTGGCCATTGTAATGAGAATTTACCAGCCGGGCACAGAATCTATCCCTTCAGCCTCTCACAGATGGAATCTCACTCCTGAAAATGAGATTTTTGTTTCATTAAAAATTAATGCCTTCCCTACAATGGGTATTTTAACTTCCCTAGTAAATGATGGTTCCATTTCAAACCTGTGCCTATGCTGGGCTTCCTTCATAATTAAAAAATGCTCATTCAGCTGTTCCAGGTAACTGGGGTTTGTGTTTGAGCAAAATGTGTTTTACAAGACTAAATAGAAATATTTTCATTTGCTGAGAAAAACCCTAACCACAGAAAAATCTGTTTTATGCTTCCATTTCCATCCTCCCCACACAGTTGGTATCAAGGTGTGTGGAACCTCCCACTCTGGAGCAGGATTTACTCAAGGGTTACAACGAGCTGATGCTGAGGGTCACTCCTGGAGCTCGAGCAGGAGGAGACTTTGCTGTCATGGTTGGGTTTTGCTGGGTGCAAAAAAATTGCAGCTTTGGAATGACTGCTGAGTAAATAGAACCACTAGAAGATGTGGTGGTTATTTTTGTGGGAATTAGTTAAGTGAATGTTCTAAAGGAATTTAAGTTTAAACAGCTCTAAGTGATGGTATCATTTTTTTTTTCTTGGTGTCGTTGAACTGTATTTTCCTAAAAGCACAGCTTAAGGTTTGCAAAGGCTCTGTTAAACCCATCAGGGTAGGGATGCAAGGAAACAGAGGTTTTCCTCACCATTTCCTGCATGCATCTTGTCAGGGGGGAAGGTTTGGAACAGGACTTTTGCAAATTACCCCTGATGGTGTCCGTGGGGTCGCTGCAGCCTTGTCTTCTGCTGGACTGGAGCAGAAGTGTTTGAACTGCTCTGATTAAAGCTGGAATGAGCTGTTCCCTGTTCCCAGGGCAGGCTGGGGCTGCTGGGGAGCCCTGTGCCATCATCTTTCTCTCCTTCCCTGCTCTCATTCAGCGCTGGAGTGGATGGTGGCTGGGGAAATAGCAAAGTCCCTCAGGGACGTCGCTCTGTTCTTGCTGAAATTACAAGCACAGAGCTGCCTGGGCATGAGCATGTAGTGTTTACTCTGCCAGTATGAATACAAATAGTCTTATTATAAGAGATTCTGTACCCAAAGACCACCAAAAAAAAAATTAGGAGATTTTTTTTTAACCCTTGGTTGTGCTCGGTCTGTGAAGAAATCACATGGCTATTGTGGTCTGTGGGATGTTGGTATTTAAATTAATCTGCTCTGATGTGATCTATCAAATGTCTTCTTGCCCAGAGGGGTTGTAGAGGTTGTGGGCTCCCCATCCCTGGCAGTGTCCCAGGCCAGGCTGGATGGGCTTGGAGCAGCCTGGGGCAGTGGAAGGGTGTCCCTGCCATGGCAAGGGTGGCACAGGGTGGGCACTGAGGTCCCTCCAGCTCTGAGTCTGTGCCCCAGAGATCCAGAGCTGGTCCCAGTGAGCTGGCTGACAGGTGAAATAGGAACTCCTCAGGGAAATTTGAGGTTTTTGTTATTATTTTTCATTCTTGCCAGCAAAAGGTGCTGATTCTCTGAATTCAAACTCGTTGGAGAGATTGCCCATTGTGTTTTCTAGTAAAGAGGAGAGGTCTGCTGGGAATTGCTGGCTGTGGTAAAGGTTGTTGTTGTTGGGTACATCCAGGTTCCTGCTCTGCTTGTTTTGGATCAGAGGCTCAGAGCCATTCCCCCATTGCAGTGGGAGCCTGGCACTGGGGGATCAGGGCTTGGCCTTCCTGACAGGTGCATTTCCTCCGTGTCAAAAGGGGTCAAGACACCCCTGCTGTTACAGCATTCAGCTGAGCTGAGTGCCCTGAGAGTCTGAGCTGATGGGAGGAGTTGAGAAAGCAGCAGAAAATCAGATTTGTGGGCAGCCAGGGCTGCAATCCCTGCTCTGACAGGGCAGGGCAGGGCAGGAGCTCCAGCCTGGGCTCTCCCTGTCCTCACAGAGCTGGCCAGCAGCATTTGGGGCAATAATCTGTCTGTGTTTCAGGACAATCCTGAGGTCTCAGGGCTTCTCCCAATCCCAGAGGTTTTCCTGGTAGCTCAGGACCACTCCCCTCGCCCACCACCCCGTTGCAGTAATTAACTCTTTGCTGTGGTCTCAACAAAGAGGCCAGGGAATTACTGGACTGTGAAAATACAAGTTGCTCTTTATTCCTAGGCTGCTCTGGCTGCTCTAGAGCAGAGGGTCCCAATCCTTGCTGGCCTTGGGGCACAGCACCATCACTGCAGGGCCTTTTCCATCCCCTGACCATCCAGAGGACACCTCTTCGTCCCCTTTGTCACAGACTCCCAGACTGGTTTGGGTTGGAAGGACCGTAAACCTCATCCTGTTCCACCCCTGTCATGAGGCTGTGCTGAAATGGGGAATTCTCTGAAAGGGCTGGGAATTGGTGAGCACAGAGCAGTTCAGGAGTGTCTCCACCACTGTGTAAATCACCGTGCTGGAGAAAGGACCTGGAGCACAGTGCCACCCCCCCCCAAAGCCCAGGGCTTTGTTCCCCAGATTAGCATATTAGCACAAATCTCAGTGTGAAAAGGTAATTCCCTCAGCCCCTTGCAGAACTCAATATATTCCTTGTCAGTCCTGAGCCAGCCATTGGGATGCTTTTCTATAGCACTTTATGTATTTTGACTACAATTTCCCCTGATCCTCTGGCACCAGGAAAGCACCAGCTGCTGATAAGAGCCAACTAATCTTCAAGGACAAGGAGAAAGTGATGTAAGGAGGGCCTGCAGCAACACCCCACATCCCCCTTCATCCCTCTGCTGCCTGTGCCCATGGAAAATGTCATTTTCCCCACTGGCACTAGATGTCACAGTTTTTCCTCCTCAGCAGCACGAGGATCAGAAATAATCCACAATCACCGCTGCTGGCTGGAGCTTTGGCTGCTGCACCTTCCCTGGCTAGCTGGGGAGGTTTGGCCAGGGGAAATTCGGGATGGCAGAGGGCTCCTGGAACGCTGCTCTGGCGGCTTCCTGGATTGCCAGAGGCAGGAAGGTGTAGCTAATGCATTTTATACAAGCACAGCTTCATCGCTGAGCTGCATGTTCTGCTTTGTCACCCCCTGTTCCTGCATTTTATGGCAGGCACAGGGAATTAAAACAGCAGCCAGAGCTGCACATTTCTTGGAGGGTTTTCAAATCCCCAAATCCTTCCAGGAGCAGGGATGGGAGAGGTGGCACAGTTTTATTCTCTGTGCTCATATGGATGTTTGAACAGGTGTATGTGGCTCACATGGATACAGGAATGTTCTTGCCCACAGGGAAGCTCCTGATGAAGGCTGTGTGTTGTTCTCTGTCATGTGTCTTTACCCATCTGTAACCTCAGGAGGAATTTCCCCATGGAAAGGGTGGCACTTGAAGGGTGGTTTGGAGTCCCCATCCCTGGAGGTGTCCAAGGAATGACTGGATGTGGCACTCTGGTCTGGGTGACGAGGTGGGGATGGGTCACAGGTTGAACTCGATGATCTTGGAGCTCTTTTCCAAACCTGGGTGGTTCTGGGGCTCTGTGACACCTTTCCCTGAGCTCTTGGTGTCATGCTGGAGCTGTTCCCTGCCATTGCTCAGATCGTGCCAGCGTGCTTGGCTGGGCTGCCACCACCACGCTTGGATTGCTGAGGGACACCTTTTCCAGAGCCAAGAAGGAATCCTGGCTTTTGGCACTCCACCCTTGTCAAGGCATGGAGCTGGAATGCCTCTGGCAAGCCATGTGCACTCTGCCCTTTTCCTGGGAGCTGCTTCATGCTCCAGATAAAAATGCAAAAGCTCTGCACAGTGTAAGTGCAGAGAGTCACTCTTTTAGATCTGAACTTCCAGGCAGCAGATTCAAATGTTGAAATGCCAAAATTGCTGCATCTGCACCAAGTAAATACCCACATTCAGCTTTCCAGATTTGGATGTGAATGGATGAAATGAAGCCTGGCCTTCAGTCCCCAGGCTCAGCACCATCCTGTAGTGAGGGAAATAGAATAAACCAGCACTGATCTCTTCTCTCTGGTGCCCAGTGATGGGACCTGAGGGAGCAGCTGGAGCTGTGCCAGGGGAAGTTTTAGGTTGGATATCAGGAAAAGGTTTTTCTCCCAGAGGATGGTGGAGCACTGAACAAGCTCCCCAGGGAGTGGTCAAGGCTGCCAGAGCTCCAGGAATGTTTGGACAACACTCTTGGGGATGCACAGGGTGGAATTGTCAGGGTGTCTGTGCAGCGCTGTGAGTTAGACTGGATGATCCCTTCCAGCTCAGGATATTGCATGATTCTGCTGGCTGTGCTTCTGCAGGAATTACAGAACCTGCCAGAGAGAGGCTGCAAAGCTCCCTGTCCCCAGCTGCCAGTGGCATTGGCTCCCTCTGCTCGGAGGGAGCCTGGGATCGGCTCCTTCCCGCTCCCCTCGGAGCCTGCTGTCAACAGCTCTGCCTGCCACCAGCAGTCAATTTGGAACTGCATCAGTGTGTGTATTACTGTTCCCATCGATAGTGCAATTAATGTTGAAGTCAATTTTGGTGTTAATTTTAGGCCATGATTAGTGTTGACACTGGGTGTCAAACGAGCGGCGTTTACGAGCGCCGGGGAAGCGCCGTTCGTTAGCGCGCCCGTTTTACTGGCTCTTAATGCTTCCATTAAGGCCAGGATGGAGTGGGAGAAGGTGTGTGTAAAATTATACATCTGAAACTTGGGTGTCATCTCCGTGTGTCTGCGGGGCTGGGGCCGTTCAGGGAGCAAATGACAGCTGAGCACTGAATCCTAATCACAGTTTGGAGCATCAGAAATAATGATTACTTCTGATCGGGGCTTGTGAATAATTCATCCCCTTTGATTTTCACGTGCTGCCCACTGATACTTTTCAAACCAAATGTGTTCCTACAGGAGAATAATGGTCCCACTTCTTATGGAAATACCAGGGCACAAATCATTTTGCCAACATAAAAACAGTTAAATAAGACGGTTCCTGCTTTTATTTTTCCTCCGCCTCTTCCTCACTCCTGGCTGTGCTGGGAATGGAGCCGTGGCAGGAGCAGCACTTCCAAACTGTGCTGCCTCTTCAAAAGAGCCTGTTCCAAAGCCAGGGCTGCTCACCATCACCTACCATTGCCTGCCAGTGCTCTTAGGTGATTAGCTCAGCCTGGCTAATTAACCTGGGAACTCTCCAATTTTTGGAGTGCTGCCGTTAACTTAAAAATCTCGTTATTCTTTTTTTTTTTTTCTGGAATGGAAAGTCATTCTCTACTACCCATAAATCTCAACTGAATCTAGCAAATTCATAGCAAAAAAAAATCCTTAGTTGTGCAGATCCCTGTGGCTTTTATTACAGGATAAATGGCACAAAACATGTGATGAATTGGGGAGGCAAAAGACACCCAAGTTAATAGTGGTGCACTTTTAATTTTATTTTTTTTCCTAAACTGTATAGGGTTGTTCCATGTTTGTCAGCTGTAAACTGTTTTCAGGAGTTTGTGCCCTGGCTAGGTTGTTTCTGTTCTACTGGTGAGCACTGGCCAAAGGGACTTTACTGGTGTAGGGGACCCACGACCTTGGGTTAGGAAACTATTCCAACACCTCTGTTACAATCTGAATTTTCTAAATAACAAATGCCTTAAATTGGCCTGTTTCCTATGCTGTCAAAAATCATCAAGCTGCTGAAAGTGAGGAAAATGCCTTACATGCTGGTGGGTGGGATGGAGTGTGGGACCAGCCCTGGGGACTCCCTGGTCCATCACTGGTCCCTCAGCCCTGGCTGTAAGGAAACAGCTGTCAGGGATTTCTGCTCCCTTCTTTGGAGCTGCTGCAGCATCTCTCTGTTCCAAACCCTGCAGTTGGATGCTGAGGTGGAACTGTAAGTCTGCAAATGTTCAGAGGCAAAAAGATTATTCTGTTCTGACTTGTCAGAGTAGGAGTGGAGGAATCCAAGGAGAAGGTGAACTGAAACACTCTGTTAAGTTGCAATCTCAGCTCTTGGAAGGGGAGGTGTAAGGAAGGATCTGCCAGTAGCTGGCTGTAATATTTTTGGATTGCTGCCTGCTTTACTTCCAATGACCCTTTGATTAATTCCTCTGCCTCTTTATTTTTTTTAATGAGCCTATTATGGCATATCTTATTGCAGATGCTGATTGGATCTGGGCTGTGTATTGTGCCATTTGGATGTGGATTAAATGGCACAGATCTATCTGCTGCCTCTCCCCCTCCCGCTTTAGTTCATCATGCTCAGAATTCCGAGGCTCCACAATGAGAGCCTCAGCCCTGCTGATTGCAGAGGATGTGCAATCGGCTTGAGGAATGTGTACTCAGGGCTTATGATCCTTGGGCAAGCGGGGACTGGGTGATGCATGTGGCTTTCAAGGGACGCTGCTGCTCCCATCTGTTAATGGCACTCGGAGCCCCGAGCGCTGCCTGAGGGATGGGGCAGCCAGGGCAGGCAGGGAGGGAGGGATGCTGCTGATCCTGCAGGAGATGGGGCAGGCAGGGATCTGAGGGATTCTGCTGATCCTGCAGGAGATGGGGCAAGCAGGGATCTGAGGGATGAGGCAGGCAGGGATCTGAGGGATGCTGCTGATCCTGCAGGAGATGGGGCAGGCAGGGATCTGAGGGATGAGGCAGGCAGGGATCTGAGGGATGCTGCTGATCCTGCAGGAGATGGGGCAGGCAGGGATCTGAGGGATGAGGCAGGCAGGGATCTGAGGGATGCTGCTGATCCTCCAGGAGATGGGCCAGCAGAGATCAGTGATTTTTTGGGAAAGAAAGATGTGCAGTAAAATGTTGCTTAGCCAGGCGGGTTTGGGATGGAGCTGCTGTGAAACTGGGGAAGGGAGAAGGGAAGAGAGGAAGGAATGAAGGGATATCTGAGATAGCAATGAAATAAAAAGGGGGTTAGAATGAGGGTTGGGTGAGGGGGATGAGGGTGTGGGGTGATACCTGGGAATGCTGAGCAGCAGCACATCCCAGCTCACCCTGGGAGCACAGGGAATGCACAGCTCCCTGTGAGGGGGACGTGTTGGATAAACCTGTGACAAACCCCTGAAAGGGGAGAGGGAGCACCAGTGTGAGTGTCCTGGTGGGGTGAGAGCAGTGCAGAAAGGAGTGTGGGAAGGATCAAGTGCCTCCAGCTGTCCTGTGCACTGGCAGAGCCCATCAGAGCTGCTGTGTTCCCCAGGAAAACACGCCAAGTCCAAGAGAATTCCTGTGTGGCTCTTTTCTCTCACACCTTGAGGACACAGCATTTATTTAGTGCCGTTCTCTTCTCCTGGCCTGCAGATCGGCATGGTGGCCTGGAAGATGACCCTGAAGACCCCCGAGTACCCGGAGGGCCGGGATATCATTGTCATAGGCAACGACATCACGTACAAGATCGGCTCCTTCGGGCCCCAGGAGGACGTGCTGTTCCTCAGGGCCTCGGAGCTGGCGCGGGCCCAGGGCATCCCCCGCATCTACGTGGCTGCCAACAGCGGGGCCAGGATCGGGCTGGCCGAGGAGATCCGGCACATGTTCCACGTGGCCTGGGAGGACCCTGACAACCCCTACAAGGTGAGGGAAACACAGGGAGGCTTGTTTTGATAGCACCTTGTTGTATTTGCTCCCCAGGCAGAGGAAGGAATGATGAATTTGATTCTATGTTCTTAGAAGTTCGGTTAATTTATTATTTTACAATATGGTATTATACTATACTAAACTATACTAAAGAATACAGAAAGAATGCTTACAGAAGATTAAAATAATGAAAGGTTAAAATAATGAAATAATAAAATAATATGAAATAATAAAATAATGAAAACTCGTGGCTCTTTCCAGAGCTTCAACACAGTTTGACTGTGATTGGCCAATAAGTTAAAACGATTCACATGAAGCTAATGGAACAATCTCCAAACACTTTCCAACACAGCAAAACACAGGAGAAGCAGTGAGATAATATTGTTTTCCTTTTTCTCTGAGGCTTCTCAGCTTCCCAGGAAAAGAATCCTAAGCAAAAAGATTTTTCCAGAAAATATAACTGTCACAGCACCTCTTCTAGCAGAGGTGAGGGTAACGATTCCAGAGTTTCATGTCCAAGGTTCTCCTCAGTATTGGATGTGGAACACTGGAAATGCCCAGTGCTAAGCTGGATGAAACTGGGAGCAACCTGGTCTTTTCTAACCCAAACCATTCCATAACAGGATTTTACCATCTCCCAAACAGCAGGTTGACATGTAGAAGGAGTTAGTGCTAAATACTGCACCATTCCCAGCTAAATATTGCACCATTCCCAGCTTTCACTGGCCTCAGCTGCATCTCCAACGTAGAGAGGATATTCTTATCACTCTGTGGAATTTAATTCTGTGAAAGTTTGTTTCTGGAAGGGGTTGCAGGGGATGACAAGGGGCTACAGGTGGGACTGGGATGAATGAGCTGTTTTTCCCTGCAGGGATACAAATACCTGTACCTGACTCCTCAAGACTACAAGAAAGTCAGTGCCCTGAACTCTGTTCACTGCGAGCACGTGGAGGAAAATGGAGAGTCCAGGTAGGAATGGAAAGCTTTCTGTTCATCCTTGGGGCATGCAGGGCATGTCCTTGTCCTCCCAGAGCTGGGGCATTCCCTAGGGTAGGGGATGGAGCATGGGAGAAGGAAGTGAAGAAAAGGTGAGAGACTTGTTGTAATCCTTGTTTTTTTCATCTTTCCCTTTGTCTGCATTCCCTTCCTTTTGTAATTCCCTTTCCCTTTCTTAATTTTCCTGTTAATCAGCCTGCTCCTCATGCCCCGTGGGAATGACAGGACACTTTCCCCAGGCCTCCCTCTCCCCTGGCCTTTCCCCTTGCAGTGCTGCTCCTGTGGGAAGGTTCCATGGTGCTGCAGGACGGGCCCTGCACAGCCCCTGCCCGGGCTTCATGCACATTTCCCCTTGGAGCCTTAATGATATTTAGTCACTTTCCATTTTCTTTGTAGCAAACTGATTCAGCAAATCACTGGACCCTGTGGCTCAGGGGCTGTGTGTGTCTCCCTCAGGTACAAGATAACGGATATTATCGGCAAGGAGGACGGGCTTGGAGTAGAGAACCTCAGAGCATCTGGCATGATTGCTGGAGAATCATCTTTAGCCTATGATAGTGTTATCACCATCAGCTTGGTAATCCCCCACTGCTTTCTATTCTTCAAATGTATTGTCTGTTTCAGCTAAAAATCCTGTGATGATATCCCAAGCATCCATCTGGGATCAGCCTTCTGGCTGATGGAAATGGGCTCCTGTAGGCTTTGAGCAATGCTCCTGGCACCAGTGCAGGGCTGGGTCCCCTCCACACTCAATTTAAAACATTTCAGGCATTTGGCCTCGCATTTGCTCAGTCTGAAAATTGCTGCTTGTCTTTTTTTTTTTTTTAATAAAATACATTTATGTTCAGATGCTGTGCTTTACAAAGCAACGGATTCTGGAATTTTCCAGTGAGACTAGATTTCAGGGCCTTGTACTACAAACACACCTAGTTTTATCTTAGTGTTTGAATCAATAGGTTGTGGCTGTGTGGAGAGACAGAAATCAATGCCGTTGCTTTTTCCTTTTTTTCCCTTTTTCCCTTTTTCCCCAGGTGACGTGTCGGGCAATCGGGATCGGGGCCTACATCGTGCGGCTGGGCCAGAGAACCATCCAGGTGGAGAACTCCCACATCATCCTCACGGGCTGTGGGGCCCTCAACAAGGTGAGTCCCTGCATTTCAGCCCTCAGAGCCCTCGGGGGGCTCATGAAGTCTGGCATGGTGTGGGTTGAAGCAGGAGAGCAGCTCTCAGGGCCCTCAGGGTGCTCATGGAGTCTGGCATGGTGTGGGCTCAAGGAGGAGAGCAGCTCTCCACAGAGGTTGTGTGTGGCTGTGTTCGCAGGGGTCTGAGGATGAGGGAAGAGACGGAGATCTGACTCCATGTTTTTTTTAGAAGGCTTGATTTAATTATTTTATGATATATATTACATTGAAACTATACTAAAAGAATAGAAGAAAGGATTTAATCTCAGAAGGCTGGCTAAGCTAAGAATATAATCAGAAAGAATGATAACAAAGCCAGCTGCCTCAGACTCTCTGTCCAAGCCAGCAGGGCTGTGATTGATTGGCCATTAATTACAAACATCCAACATGGGCCAATCCCAGATGCACCTGTTGCATTCCAGAGCAGCAGATAATCATTGTTTACATTTTGTTCCTGAGGCCTCTCAGCTTCTCAGGAGGAAAAAGTCCTAAAGAAAGGATTTTCCATAAAAGATGTCTGCGACAGTTGTGGGCATGGATTGAATCCCAGGCAGGGCCTTCTCCCACCCTCTGAGGGCTGTGAGGGGAGCCAGGGCTGATCCTGGTGTCTGGAAGTTCCTGCTCCAAAATACACGGCCCAGAGTCGCCTGAATCCCAGCCAGCCCCCACATTGTGTTAGTTCTGGGGAGCACTGAACCTCAGGAGCTTGGATACTGTTTTTCCAGTCTGGGAGTGAGATCTCCCGCTGGAAACCTCAGCTGTGGGGACAGGAGGAATAACTGGGGCTGTTACAAAGAAAACTTACAGCCTCACTGCTAAAGTGGCTCTTTTTTCCCCCCACTCCAGAGGCAGATTTTCTTGTCCCTTGCTGCCCCAAGCCCATTAATCCCCCAGGCTGCAGCCTGGTGCAGACATAGCTCCCAGCCCACTCTGCTCCATGGCTGTCCCTGAGGGCTTTGTTTCCCTGAGTTGGGGCTGTGTGCTGTGAGTGCCCTTCCCCATCGAGCAGCTTTGTTCTCAGGCACTCTCAGCACCTGGGGTGCCTGTACTCCATGGCAAGCTGTGTTTCCAGGAGTGCCTGCCTGACAATGGGAGATAAAGGAAAACAGGCTCTTGTTGAATTATTCTCCTGAATAAAGGGGGCTCTGCAGAAAATGAAGCATTGATCCTATCAACTCTAGGCTGCAGCACCCTCAGTTAGATCTCTTACACACATCACACACACCTGCATCAATGGGAGGAAAAGAGGCATTTGAAGATCCAGCCTTTAAAAAGAAATTGAGTCAGTTTAGTGCTTGCTGGAGTGCAGTGAGTTGCCTGGTTCCAGCTGTCGCTTGCTGGGGCCCTGCAGAGTTTCCCAGATGGCAGGGCCAGGCTGTTCAGCTCTCCCCTCTTCCAGGTTTAGCTGCACTCCCTGCCCCTGCTCTCAGTGCCTGTTTGCACAGGACTCCATTAATCCCACTGAATTTTAGGCACTTAAAAATTAAAGGTATGGACTGATTTAAGCACCTGACCTCTGCCAGCAGGCACAGGCAGAAGGAGCTGCTTTCTGTGGGGGATTTATCCCATCCTGAGGATTTCAGTGGGCTCAACAATCCTGTGTGTCCCTTTCTGAGAATTCCAGTGGGCTCAATGATCCTGTGTGTTCCTTTCCCCTCCTCCCTGCTCTGTTGGGATGCTTGTGCCAGCTCTGAACCTCTACCTGCCTGAAGGTGAGGGAGGAACCTGTTGCATCCTCCCCAGCTTTCCCAGCCAGCCCCAGCAGTGTTCACCTGCCCTTGACCAGTCCCCTCACTCCTGGGTGTGTGTGGTATCTGCTGCTTCAGAGATCCTCAGTTTCCAGAGCCTGCAGTGCTGCTCAGGGCTTCCTGGAGGGATCCAGCTGCAGTTGTGTCCCAGAAATGTGTCTGAAATAGGGAGCTGGTGTCCAGGGCTAGCCTGGAATGTCTGAGCTCAGTCTGGCTGACCTGAAGCAAGCAGTGGATGCTGATCCATGCAACCACATCTTCAAAATGTCTCCTGTCCGCCAGCAGAACGTGCAGCACAAAACTGTTCCTGCAGCAATGGGGACAATTGGGCTTTCAGAGAGCAGGCTGGCCTTTCTGGGAAGTTGTTTCATTTTATTTTTTTTCCCTGTAAAATGCTGGATTCTTTCTAATTTACAAAGGGAGCAGAGGGGAATGGTGACAAACATTATGTGCAGCCAAAGCTGTTGCTGATCTCGTTCATTATCATTATGTAAAAGCAGCCTGAGGGTTTAGGTGTAGAGGGAAGGGTCCAGCTGCCAGAGCCAGGGGTGACCTCTAACTCAGATGATGAGCTCAAGGTCAGTGTCACTTGGAGCTGCAGCTCCTGGTGCCTTCTGGGCTTGGCTCCTCACATGCTGCTGGTGAGCACAGGGCACATCCTGGGGAGACAGCTGGGTTAGAGCACCCTGCAGCCCTTGCCTGGCAGGGAATGCACCAGGGCTGTGCAGGGTTCCATGGTGGAGCTTTGTCCCCATGCCCAGGTGAAGGTGCCATGCTCCAGGTGCCAGCACAGGGCACACAGGGCTGTGTTTCCCTGCCCCTTTTGTGTCCCCAGTGCATTTCAACAGGGCTGTGCAGGGTTCCATGGTGTCCCCATGCCCAGGTGAAGGTGCCACGCTCCCCATGCCAACACAGGGCACACAGGGCTGTGTTTCCCTGCCCCTTTTGTGTCCCCAGAGCATTTCAGCAGGGGTGGCTGGAGGGGTGGAAATGCCATTTCCCTGCTCGGGGTGAGCGTGTGCCGCGCTGTGCCGAGCCCGCTGACCCCCCTGCAAATTGAAATAATGATAATGCGCGTCTCCTGACTGCATCAAAGTATCAGCACATCAAAAGCCAGGAGGCATGAAATGCAAATGATAAAGTGAAAGCAGATGGATTGTGCATGATCGCCTGATGCCCAATGAATTTTAAAAGATGCTGGTTCACATGGGGAGAGGGGCTGAAATAAACACGTTATCCCTGCAATTTTTTCTTTTTTTTTTTCCCTCTTTTTTTTTTTGTTCTTGCTGCTCACTCCTGACAATATTTTTTCACACTTCAGCGAGCAGCCACTCCATCTCCCTCCCTCCCTTCCCTCTCTTTCTCTCCCTCTCTCTCTGGCACTGTCTCTACCTCACACACGTCTCGGGTCATGTCGCCGCAGCTCCGGTGGAAATAATAAGATATAAACCACGAGGTTGTTATTTGCATAGAAATAGCATGGAGCCCCAGGCAGCATGGGAGAAGGACACAGAGATCATTTGTCTAAAATTTTAATGAAAACTTTTGCTGAGGCAGAGATTTTTATTTTATTTTTTTTTTAAACTTCCCCTGCCTCCCCCTTTTTCTGCCCCCAAACCTTCCTCCTCTTCTTCCTCCCTCCCTCCCTTCCCTTGTGATAACCTGAGCACGGGGTGGTTTCAGACCTGCACCAGCACCTCCATTTCCATGGGTTTTCTTTTTGATGGAAGTCAGACCAAAGAGCCTGGCATTCCCCATTCCTGCACTGCTTCCAGGGCTGTGTTCCATTTCAGCCCTCCCAAGGATGTTCCAGAGTCTGCCTCTGACCTATTTTTAATCAGTTTGCTCCTCCTTGTCTTTTGTGTTTAAAAGAAATCCCGTCTTGGAGGCTGTTGTGTTAATGGAAACAAATAGTGGCTTTCAGTCACATTTTCCCTGCAGATGGGTGTTCTGGGCTTTTCCTAAGGGGAAGCCAGGTTCAGCTGAGACTTTCAGGAACTGCTCCAAGCAGGATTCCCATCAGTTTGTTATGTAGATGTTCAGCCAGGCTCTCAGACAGTTCATTTTGTGATGGTGATGAAGAGCTGCCCCGAAGCTGTCAGAGGTGACAGAATTCTGACCAGCCCTGGTTTGTTTCCCTCCTGTTTTAGCTTTATTTTCCCCCAAACCCTCTGGTCTTGACTTGCCCCGTGCTCCCCATGGTTTGCTCAGAGCACCAGGGGTGAGCTGGACAAACCCCACCTGCCAGGACTCTGCAGGGAGGATGAGGGGTCAGAAACTGAAATATGGAACATTCAAGGCACAGTTCAGCACTTTGGGCTTCATCTCCCTGCCAGGTCATGGGGTGGCATTTCTGACCAGAATGGGTCAAAAAAGAAAAAAAAAAAAAGTGTTGTTTGGTCTTGTTGGATTGCTTTGCATGAGTTCAGAGGAGAATATCTTTGTGTTTTTGATTCGGTCCTGAGTTGTGCTGAGAACGTTCTGGATGCTCTGGGATTCACAGAACAGGATGAGACAATAGGTCAGGGCTGCTCAGGGGGCTGTGAGAGAGCTCTGGGCAGCTCTCAGGCTCCTCAGGGAGGAACAGGAGGCTCGCACAGCCTGGGGAGTGATTGCCAACAGCAATATTTACCCTTCAATTTCACAATCTGCAAAAATAAATAAAAGCCCTGTGAGCCTGATGCTGTTTGGGGTTTGTACTGTGGAAAGCTATTTTTTTTTTGAGATTCAAGGCAGGGATAGCTCAGTATCTGCTCAAGATGACTCCAGTCCTGGGATTAGATCAAAGCAATCATGTGAGAGCAATCATGTGAGTTAGAACAGCAAGTGCCAGCCCTGTCATTCAAAGGAGCATTATAATTATTAATGCATGATATGAATCATTCTGTAGTGGCACAGCAGGACTGTTGGGAGATCTGGATGGGTGCAGGGTGTTGGAGAATGCTAAGCAAGGAGGGCTGGGAATGTCAGCCAGAAATGAACACTCACCAGCATCGAGGGTTGGCTCCTTGTGTGGAGGTTGGGGCTGCCCAAGGTTGTGCTGGGGAGCAGGAGGGATAACCCAGCTGTGCCCTGGGTGCTGAGGACAAGGGTGGGCTCAGGATGGAGGCTGTGTTCTCTTGCTCTGTGTGGAGCAGTGCATGCAGGCAGGATGGATGCCTGGCCTCAGTGCAGATAAACAACCACCCTCACCCTCCGTGGCTGCATTTTTGTTTTAATTGCCTTTCTTTAAGTGGTGATATTTGTGTATTGTTCCCATTAGAGACAATTTACGTTCCAGGCATGCCATTATCAGTCCCTTGGTGTTTGCTTAGGGAGGAAAGTCTAATAGATTTCTGTTGACTTTTTTTATTCTCCCTCCTTCTATCATTTTTAATACAGATCTGGCTCAGTCTATCTGTGTGGGTGGGGGCTCTGTGTGTGTTTAATTCTGCTAAACAGGAGTTTACCATCATGGCCCATATTCTGCCTGTCCAAAGCTCTTCCCCAGGTTTGTGCCCTGCTCCTGGGGATCCTGCAGGATGTGTTCTCACTGGAGCATTAACTCTGCTCCCTGATGTTCCACAGGAGCTGAACTTTTCAAAAATATCCCAGAATTTTTGGTCCTGACCATCCCTCCTGGGCTGTCCCCAGGGGCACATTGGGGTGAGCAGCCTGGGGTGTTTTCTGTAGGAATTCCCTGTGATTCTGGACACGTGGTGGGAACTGCAGGATCAGCACTGGAGAATTGCATTGGAGCATTTCTCATGACTGAACCTAAATTCACACTGCAAAGTGAGCAGAGTTTCAGTGTGCTGGTGAAGAGGTCCCTGCACTGCAGCCTGTGCCCCAGGGTCTCTGAGTGACAGGGTCCAGAAGGTTCTCTGGGGTCCAGAAGGTGACAAAGGAAATGACCAAGATCTTTGCATTGGAGACAACCATTGATATTGTTTATGGGGTTCATATCTAGATTAGGGAACCCCTGGCTGGGACAGGTGGGATTTATGGGTGGTGGCACCATGCAGAAGAGGGGCTGTAATTTTAGTTTGCAAAGTGAATTGAGTCCTTTTGATTTACCACTGGCTGAGGGAGTGACCTTGAGCAAAACACACGCAGGGAGAGGAGAGAGGGGCACGAGGGTTTTGACAAGACATTTTTCATTTGGAAATGCCACTTCACTGAAACTGGAGCTCTTCAGGAAAAAGTATCAGTTTGGATGAGCTTCTCCTCAGGAATTTTTTGGGTCGAATGAAAAGTTGTTAGGTTCTTATTTCCCAGCTGATTTTCTTCCCAAATTAATTTTTATTTTTAATGCGTACAGCAGATACTTTAGAGGTCATTTGGAGCCTGTCTGATCTCGAGTTTGTAGTTCAGCTCTCAAGATGGCAAAACCTGATTTTTCTGCTGCAGCCCAGAAATTTTCCTCAGTAACCGCAAGGCGGGAAAACCTTCCCACTAGAATTGTGTGATGGAGACACAGACAGACAGACAGACAGACAGACAGAACCTCTCTAGCTGTGGAGCCCTGCTCCCTGTGTGTCTGTGAGGAGGGTTGGGAGGAGCAGGAGCTGCGTTTCCACGTGCACCTGGCTGCACCTTGCCCTGCTTTTCTGCCCCTTTCCCCTCTGATCTCCCCAAATGGAAGCAGGGAAGGACTCCACCAGCAGGACCTGCCCCTGGATTTGCAGTCAGGAGCCATCCCCAATAACCATCAGGCTGTCAGCTCCCCACCTCCCCCCAGCTCCCACCTCCCCCATCACTCACCAAAGGGAAAAAAGAGCCGGGGCTGCAGCTTGAAATATATCATGCAATAGTGTATCATGAATTTCTTGTGAATCACATTGGAGAAGCAGGTTTATTTATTTCCGAGACTCTAAATCAATACAAAGTAGGTCTCTTAGTTCTGAAGCTGGGATGGAGTGGGAAAAAATGAGCCCATTGTACTCTTAAAACTTTGGGGAAAGGAGATGACAGCTATATAATTCCATTTACCAGGCACTAGGGGCTTTAATGTGAAGGTGACAGGGAGCTCTTTGTGCATTTAGAGCACCATATCTTCTAAATAAAAGATCTGTAGACTTGATAGTGGAGTATAGCTCTGCCTTTAATAATCTCCAAGCATTAGACCGAGCCAATCTGTTCCCCAGTCAGAAGGGTCCCCCACCGCACGCTCGTAAATTCCGAGTGCAGGAACTGCACAGAGCCAGGATTAGCAATGCAGGAAGGGCAGAGAGGAGCTGTCTGTGCTCCCAGTGCCAGGCACGGGGCTCTGCATTCTGTGCTCTCTTCCCTCTTGCTGCTTTTCCCCCTCTAATGCGTGATCCGTGTGGGGGAAGAGCTGGAAATGAGCACTGAGCTCTGTCGAGGCTTGGCTGCACATAATAGCAGTCAGGTTTGAAGTTCCTGCATTGTGTTCCTACATTTTTTCTGATGAGACATTCATTCCCATCATTTCTGCCTGTTTATGAAAAATAGGCTATTTATAGGACGTGCATATGCCTCTCCTGCTTCGTGTTCCTGGCAGACAATGTAAATTGTGGGATGGGAATTGCAATTATTGAAATTATTTGGATAAAAATCTGGCACTTATATTTGATATGAACACATGATATGCTTGGAATAATAACAGCACTTATGTTACATAATGATTCCCATTCAAGCCCTCCAAGCTGTCATGTTTTCAGATCTTTCAGCCTGGGTGAAACAGATGAGCCAGCCCAGCTTTGCAGGGCAAGTCCCAACTCTCCAGCAGCTCAGCTTCTGAGAGGGGAAAGCAGCTGCTCAGCATGGGTTGGAGTGCTGGAGAATTATTAATATGCACATGATGGGCCTGTGAACCTGTTGAGGGCCATCCTTCAGAGGCTGTTGGAATCCTGGCTCTGCTCGTGCTTGCCAAAGGATCCTCTGAAATAACAAGAAATGTGCTTTCCTCATGGGTTTTTTGAAGATCTGATGAACTCACTGTTGGCAACACTGCCCCAAGTATTTTGGAATATTTTGGAAGTCTTCTCCAAGGTAACAAATGGCAGCACAAGAGGAGATACAGGTGGGACACTAGGAGGAATTCCTTCATGGGAAGAGTTTAAGGTCCCTTCCCAGCCAGACCATTCTCAGTTCCATGATCCTCCTGAGCCCCCAGTGCCGGGCAGGGGATGGAGCAGCCCATGCTGTGCTGAGGCTCTGTGACTCAGAGCCCCCTCACCTGTGCACCTCCAGCTCATCCAGTCCCAGCTCAGAGCACCTTTCCCTGCAGCTGGGCTCCCTCTGCCTGGCTCCCTCCTGCTCTGGGCTCTCCCCCTGCCCCAGGCTCTGCTGGAAGGGCTGCAGCTCTCAGAAGGAGCTGTGTGTTTATCTGCATCTCCAAAAAGGGATTTAAGGGTGAGAGCAGTGCTATGTTAGGCTGTTTCATTGCCTGTCAGCAGTGCTAAACCTGAGCTGTCTGCAGAGTCTCCAGATAAGCAGGAGCAGAGGCCCATTTTGCATGTACATGCGTTTGCATTGGTTCAGAGAGGGGCAGTTTAAATCCTCTTTATTTTTATTTTCCTCTGTGGGAAGCGTTTAGCTAGGCTTGTGCCTGGCATCTGGAGGCCTGGGCTTTTCTTATCCTTGAACCTAAATCTGTGCTGCTGTCTTCTCTACCACGGCTTTGCTTGGCACTGATTCTGTTAGATTTGGAGGAGGAAGGTGTTTGATCTCAGAAGGGAGACCCAGGAACATCCCTGTGCTAAAACACACCCTGAATTCTGTATTTGGGGTTAGGTTTGTGACATCTGTGCCTTGTTTTTTCTGTACATAAACCTTGGCTGGCGTGTGCCAGCTCCTCAGTGCCCAGAGTGAGCTGTGCTGGGTGTTTGGGGGAGGCCAGGCTGGTGCTGTGTGTTTGAGGGGGTTTTTAAGATCCAAATGAAGCAGGTGTGTAATGTCCTCTGTCTGTTAGAAAGACTCAACCCATAAAAATAACAAACGGCGTGTATTTGCTGGAATGTCAAAGTTATGAGTTTATTTTGTAATGATGTGCTCCTGCCTTCATGAGGTAAACTGGCCGTGGCAGAGGTGTTATTAGTAATATGGAGTCAGTGGAGCAGAAAGCCAAGTGACCGAGAGATCAGTGTATCAGTCAGGGAGAGGGCAAATGGGAAGAGACAGCAGGAGAATGAGAAAAGAGCTGTGCTGCCCAGGCTCAGATTAGAGATGGAGCTGTGCAAGGGAATGAGCAGCCCCAGCCTGCCTCTGGCCAGCCTCTCCCAGGAGCTCACGGGCCTTTGTCTGGTTTTTCCCCCCACTTATACATTTAAATACATCCACCCACAGTTTCTAGGAGCAGCTTGGGATTAGTGAGCTGAGCTGGGCTCAGCACTCAGGAGCTTTGGTCACACTGCTGCTTGGGGAGGGTGAGGGGGAAAACTGCCTCAGTTTCCCCACTGGTATCATTCCCCTTGGAGATCATAGAATCAGAATGGTTTGGGCTGGGAGGAACCTTAAAGATCCAATTCCACCCCTGCCATGGACAGGGACACCTTCTATTATCCCAGGCTGCTCCAAGCCCTGTCCAGCCTGGCCTTGGACACTTGCAGGGATCCACAGCTTCTCTGGGCATCCTGTGCCAGGGCCTCCCCTGGAAAAATTCCTTCCCAATATCCCACCCTGCCCTCTGTTCACTGGGGATCATGTTCAGCAGCTCTTAGCTGCACACAGGGCTTGTGGGGCTGTGCTGGGAGAGGTTTGCTCCATCCTTTCCATTTCCAGGTGATGCTGAGGTGCTGCAGGGCTGGCTCTGTGTGTCCCTCCTTGGCCAGCACCTCCTGCTCACACCCCAGCCCTGATGGCTCTCCCATTTCTCTTCCCCCAGGTGCTTGGACGGGAAGTTTACACCTCCAACAACCAGCTGGGAGGGATCCAGATCATGCACAACAACGGGGTGACCCATGGCACTGTGTGTGATGACTTTGAAGGGGTCTACACCATTCTGCAGTGGCTTTCCTACATGCCAAAGGTAATTCCTGGGCCTGCTAGGTGCCACTGTTTGCTGTGTTTGCAGGGTTTTGGGAATGGAGCTCTCACTTCCTTCTGTGTTTCCCCTTTTCCATTAGAATATCCACAGCCCTGTGCCCATCCTGAAGGCCAAGGATCCCATAGACAGGACCATTGACTTTGTTCCCACCAAGGCCCCCTATGACCCTCGCTGGATGCTGGCTGGACGCCCCAACCCAAGTAAGGCCAGGACATGCAGCAACTCACCTTGTTCCAAGGCTGTTTGCCACGTGTCTGCTACCCAAATACATTTCAGATTCTGTAAAATAATTACTTCTGAGCAGTATGGCCAGAATATATAAATATTTACATATAATAATATTAATCAATAATATTATTTATAAACAATATCTAACAGTAGCATGTAAATCCTGAGTGCTCAAGGACACCATACTTTTATGGATTATCTATTTACTGAGAATAGGCACTTCTATGGATTTTTTTTATGATTTAGGGAAAGTCCATCCACAGAGGGTTTGTTAAAGGAATCACAATGTTCCTGCAGATCTTGGAGCGTTGTTGTGTTGGCACCACTGGGGTTGTGCAGCCATGTGTAGGTACAAGCTGCAAACTGGGTGACCATTACTCCTGCTGTTATTAATGAGTTTGGAGGGCTGAAATGAGATTTGTGATAAACTAAGTTTTCTGGTTTTGGATAATATTTTTTCATCATCTCTCAAGCAATTCATCCAGCTGTCCGGGCGCCGCAAACGCCGGCCTCCAAATCGAGTGACTTCAGATTTTAATTTAGTGGAAGCGTTAAGGAAAGCAGATGATTCCCTGTGATAAGTTAAAGCAGATATCTCCTAGGTGAAAAGTTAAAGCCATTTATTAGAGGAGATATTGCCGTGATATTCTTCAAAGTGACGCCCGACACGAGGCCAGAATCTCAACGATCAGCTTCGGGCTCGCGATAAAGAGATAATTCTGAAATGGATGGTCACATTTTACAGTGGGGCCACAGAGGCAAGGAATGTAGAACACAGTAATTACAAGTTTGGGCTTGATAAAACACTCTCCATCCTGTTTAAGTCAGCAGAGGTTAGCGTGCTCGGATCTCCACTTTTTAATTGGTTTTGGACTTGGGTTTGTAGAAGCAGAGGGAAGAGTTGCTCGGGAGCTCTGTGCCAGGGGGTGAAGCTGGGAGGGATTTGGGGTTTTGGGGGGAATTTTTTGGTGGATTATTTTTGTGCAGAGCTTCCCAAAACCCCAGTGCACAGCAGGTGCCCCACAGAATTGTGATTTCTGTAACTGACTCTGAAATACCATTGAAATTTTCGTATTTAGTTCCTGGGTTTCTGCAGCATTCCTTCTTTCAAAGAAAGATTAGGCAGGATCAAGAGAAGAATATTAGATAAGTTTTAAAATAGAAATAGATGTGTTGAAAACCATCTTTAATGACTTTACTGCCTTTTGACAAATGTTTGTAGTCTTGAAAAAAGCAGAGTTATTTATTTAAAAGCACGGGAAGTCCCTCTGCTCTCCGAACCCCATCGTTTAACAATAAATGATGCTTTTGCTGATAAATTGCTGTCTTTATGCAGACTAGGAAATGAAATAAGACATGATGGCTGAAGGCAGACAAATGCTCAGCTGTCTAATGTTCCCTTGTATTGTCATCTATTTAAAATTAAATAAATAAAAAGACAGTGCCATGTTCTCCAGCTGGCATTTTTAAGCAAGTTTGATTTGTTGCTTTGATATTCTGTTTTCTTTCTTCCCTCTCTCCTTCCTCCTTTGATTTTTCCCTTTTTTCCCCTTCCCTTTAGATCAGAAAGGGCAGTGGCTGAGTGGCTTCTTTGACCATGGCTCGTTCATGGAGATCATGCAGCCCTGGGCACAGACAGTGGTGGTGGGGAGAGCAAGGTAAGTTCTGAGGTGTATTTAAGGCAATTGTAGAAATCAGGTTTGGGATAGCTTTGCATTTCTGTAGAACACAGCATTCCTGTGATTATTTCCTTCTCTCTCTATGTGTATATATATTTAATAGAAGGAGTTGAAAAGAAAGGGATGAGATGACCTTTAAGGTCCCTTCCAACCCATTCCATGGCTCTATAATTCTATAATTTAAAGGCTTCCAGGCCAAGCAGTGTGCCAGGGGTGGAAATCATTGATTTGGCAAAGCCAGAAGCTCTCTGTCCATGCTCAGCTTCACTTGCAGTTCCTTTCTTCTGACAAATTCCGAGTGGCTTTGGACTCTCACACAGCAGGGATATATAACACAAATGAAACAGACTCCTTTCAAAAGCAGTGGCACTTTGAAAAAAAACAAATATGAATGTATTCTTCTGGGATTGTTACTGTAAGTGCTGCCAAAACTCATCTCTCATATGTATGTTTGGAATATGTGTGCTGTTGGCTGTAAATTGTCTTTTATTATTCTATGGCAACTTGTCCAGGGACACACTATAAAACAAGATGTAGCATCTTCATGTGCTAGCCTGATAAAATTTATATGAAGTATTATGGAAAACAGAAGTTGTTTTGAGCTGTTTTCAAGTTCAATAAATAACTGTAATACTTGGATAAAGATGTTCTTTATTAGGTCACATGGGCCCTAATACAGAAGTTATAAGTTACCGATTTAGGACGGCTCCTGCAATTATGGGGTTCCAGCAGACTCTTCATCACAGGGAATGGGAATATTTCAGCCCCTCGGTGCACATGGGCCCTGGCTCTGTCCTGGCTGTGGGAAATCAGCTTGGGCTGCCTGGGGAGGGAGAGGGGCCCTGCTGGGACTGGCCTGGCAGCGTGGCTGCCGTGGCCTTTGTGTGCAGCAGGGCTGGCTGCCCTGGGAGGCACAGCTGGGATCTCCCCTGGTGCCTGCTCTGCTGCCCATCCATCCCTCTGTCCCTGCTCCCTGTCCCCTGGCAGCAGAGCTGGGAAAACACAGGAATTGTTTACCAGCTCCCCGTCCCCCTGGCTGTCACCCTCCAGAGCAGATCTGGGGAAACACAGCAATTCTTTAAAGTCCTTCCAAATACCAACCCCTTCTGGGATTCTCTGATTTTTCACGGTCAAATCCACTAGTACCAAAATCTGGGTGATGGCAGGTGAAGGGTGGTGGATACACAGATTTACCACTCAAAATCTGGGTGTGGTTTATTCTGTTTAAGTTTTAGATAGAATGTGCTCGTCTTTGGAGTAGATTTTGCTTTGAGGGCTGTGACCTCTCTGGAACTCTCCAGCCCCAACTCTGCTCCTGTTGCTTGTCTCCCCCGGGTGTTTGGCTGTGTGAAAAAGCAGGAGTGGGGATTTCAGTGTCTCACCTGTTTGCAGGCTGGGAGGAATACCTGTAGGAGTGGTTGCTGTGGAAACGAGGACGGTGGAGCTCAGCATTCCTGCTGATCCTGCAAACCTGGACTCGGAGGCCAAGGTGGGTGGGCCCTGTGCCCCTGTCCCTGTGTGTCCCCTGCCAATGGCCCCGGGCAGTTCCCTCCTTTCCCCAGGTGTGGTTCCCATTCCTGGGGAGCTGGCAGTGCCTGCACTCTGCTGTGTGACCATTCCTACATTCCTGCCCTCCAGGAATTCCCAGATTCCCTGCAGCCCTGCTTCCCTCAGGACTCAGGGAGGGGCAGGGATCAGGGATCAGGAGATGTGACAAGCAAAAATCCCTTCCCTGCTCTCCTGCTGTGACTGCAGTGCTCCATGACCTTCCTGCTGTGACATTTTGCTGTTCCCCTGCCTGGTTTCACAGCCCTGGCCCTGCTTCATCTCTCCAGGGCTTTCTCCTCTCCATCTCCTTTTCTTTCTCTTACAGCATCACAGTGTCAGGCTGTCCATACTCTTTTCTTAGCTGAATTAATGGGAATGCTGCTGTTGAAGTTGGTGACAAAAGGATTGTCCCAATTTTCCCACGGCCGAGCAGGTCCCACACATTTCACCTGCCATGTTCCTCATTGTTTATCCCACATCACAGCTCCTGATGGTTTTTCTGTATTTTAAATTTTACATTAATGCGCTTCAAGGGCCTGACAGTGGATTTTTCTTCCCCCCAGATAATCCAGCAGGCTGGGCAGGTGTGGTTCCCTGACTCTGCCTTCAAAACAGCCCAGGCAATCAAGGACTTCAACAGGGAAGGGCTGCCCCTGATGGTCTTTGCCAACTGGAGAGGCTTCTCTGGGGGAATGAAAGGTAAGCAGCACTTTGGAGCTGTCCTGGGGCTGGTTTGGGCTCTGGCTTGGCTGCTCAGGGCACCACAGAGTGCTGCTTGAAAGGTGCTGAAGTGCCAAGGATGTGAGATTGATGCTGTAAAATTTGAAGTGAAAGATTGGATCAGGGCCTCTTGCCTGTGTGAGGGAGCACTGGAGCTCTCAGGGTGGCAGAGGCTGCTGGGCACAAGGCAAAGCCTCTGAGTTTGCAGAGGCAAAGGTCGGAGTTGGCAAAAGAGGGCAAAATTCTTCCCTCTGGAAAACACCCTTTGCCTTTGAGGGTGGATTCTGCTCCATTTGCTTATTCTGCACCCCCTACATGAGCTGCTTTCCCAGCCACATAACTCACTGGGATGTTGTTGATGTAATTTTAGCTTATTTATTTACCTTATTTATTCCTTAAATATTGTTTTACCTTAAAATGTCAGGTCTGGCCTTGCTGGGTTCCTCAGAAGCTGAGTTTGAGCTTTGGGGCTGTGTGGAACAGGCAGCACAAGGATGTTAATATTTATATTGCATAGCCCAAGTTATTCCAGGCAGCTGGCAGCAGGAGGAGGGCAGGACAGAGCCATTGCAGTTTGCACCTTGCTCCTTGCATTTTCCAGCCTCCTGCTTGCTGCTGGTGTCTCCTGACACTCCCGGGGTCCCTCGGGGAGTTGTTTGCAGTTTTGGTTTCAGTGCTGGCTGGGGATTATGCAGGGAGGGAAAATAAACAATTATGCCACCCCTCAGTGCACACAAACACACTGCCAGGAGCCGACTGCACTGTGGGTAAAATGACTCCAAAATTGTGTGTAATGAGTAGGAAAAGATTAGAGACAGCTCTTGCTATGCTGAAAATTGACATTAGTGAAGGGGGAGGAAAAGGAAAAAAAAAAAAGGGAAAAAATTAAACCCCCTCTTTCCCAGTCAGCCTGGGAGGTCTAATTCCTGCTGCAAAAGAAATAATTAAAAAACACCCTAAATGAAGGCAGCTCATGGCGTGGTGGTGTCCCCTTCTGTGGCCAGAAGGCTCCTGAGCACAATGAGAATGCAATGCTGAAGAACTGGCTGGCACATTGTGCTGGAGGAGCCATTGGGCAGGGCTGGTTTGGGCTCCGTTTGGGCGAGGCAGCGCTGACCCACGGCAGGGACACCCCGAGCGTGACATTCCCTGGGAATGAGCACCAGGGCCCTCCTGCAGCGGGGCTGAGCACAGGGAAACCTCCCATGGAGGGGCTGGGGTTCCACTGCTCCCCTCTGCCCGGGACAGGGCCCCAACAACATCAAATACAGGGAAAAGAAAGAGGAAAGCAGAGGGGAGAGGCTGGGCTGGGTGGTGGGTGATGGGTTGTGGGGGGCTGTGTGCTGGGTTGTGCACAGGCACATCCTTCCTGTGCCTGTGCCAAAGGATGCATGGGCATAGAAAGGATCCCAAAGGATCCATGGGCACAGGAAGGATCCAAAAGGATGCACAGGCACAGAAAGGTCCCAAAGCATCCATAGCACAGAAAGGATCCCAAAGGATGCACGGGGACAGAAAGGATCCCAAATGATATTGGGATAGGATCCAAAAGGATATTTTGGATCTCAAAAGATCCACGGGCACAGAAAGGATCCATGGGCACAAAAAGGATCCACGGGCACAGAAAGGATCCCAAAGGATGCACAGGGACAGAAAGGATCCTGAAAGATCCATGGGCACAGAAAAGATCCCAAAGCATCCATAGCACAGAAAGGATCCCAAAGGATGCACAGGGACAGAAAGGATCCTGAAAGATCCATGGGCACAGAAAAGATCCCAAAGTATCCATAGCACAGAAAGGATCCCAAAGGATGCACAGGCACAGAAAGGATTCTCAGGCACAGAAAGGATCCCAAAGGATCCACGAGCATGAAAAGGATCCCAAAGGATCCTCAGGCACAGAAAGGATCCAAAAGGATCCATGGGCAAAGAAAGGATCCCAAAGGATCCTCAGGCACAGGAAGGATCCCAAAGGATCCTCAGGCACAGGAAGGATCCCAAAGGATCCTCAGACACAGAAACACTTTCCTGACCACCTGCTGGCACCTGGGAAATGAAATCCTTTCCTGATCCCACCCTGGAGCTCTGAGAAAGCATCAGGTTCCCCCAGTTCCTCTGCCTCTCTCCCTCTGCCCTGTTCAAACAATTAGTGCTGCTCTTCTCTGCACTTCACCTGAGTAAAATATACACCCGTGGCAGGAGTGAAAAATGTATTGCTAATTACACAATTATTTTATTATGTAGCACTAGTAAAAAATGTCTAGTAAAGAATTAATTCAGTTAAAATAATTTGAATCAAGCAATTATTTTCTTAACACTAGAATTAGCTGAAAGTACTTCAAGTGGTTTATTACTAGCACTACATAATAAAATAATTGTATAATTAGTAATAAATTTGTCACCCCTTTTGAGTCTTTTTCTTTGCTCAGGACAAAGGGAAAGGTTGGAGTTTTGTTTGTTCTCACTCCTCACTGTCTCTGCTGGGATTTATGTTTATTCCCAATTAGAGGGAATAAATTGTTCTTCCTTTTGTCAGCATTTGATACCTCCTAAATAACATGAAATTCCTTTTCTTGGGTGTTTGGGCAGTGACCTTGGAAATGAAATGGAAAGATCCTATCAGTGCCTGTGGTACTAATATATATTCTTATATATTTGACATATATATATATTCATATATAAATTCATATATATATATTCATATATATATAGTTATAATATATTATATGTATACATTTATATTTATATAAATATTAAATATAGAGGAGTGTTTCCCAAAGAGTTAATTGCTTAATTATGTTCATGTTAATGCTTAACACTAAAATGAGGGTTAAATGACAAAGGCACCTTGGCTTTTCTCCAGGGATAGGAGGATTTTAGATGAATAAAAGTGTCTCAGTGTTCCCAGACTGTTCCTGTTGCAGCAGGTGTGAGTACATAAATGCAGATCTTTTATTTTCTCTGCACTGGTATTTTAATGAGGCAAACTGGAGGGTCCAAGCAAAAACCCAACTGATGGAGTGGGTTGGAAGAGATGAGGGATGGATTCCTGCAGTGTCTCAGGACAAACCCCACTGAAAATTGTGCTGCTGTTTGTGGTGAGCCTGAAGGAGAGCAGGCATTGTGCAGGTGGTACAAGGGGTAGTGACATGAAATTAATGGGGAGGGAGGGGAAGTTTGGCTGAGTTCTGAGGGAAATCTCGTCTGTTGGGCTGTGGAAATGCCCCTAAAGAAGCAGATTTATGATTTGGGGTTTCTAAATGGGAGCTTTCAACAGCACTGTGGGAGAAACAGTCCTGTGTGAACAAAGAGGTGGGCTAGATGAGCCTAATAACTGTTTTTCATTTCTTGTATTTTGATTTAATACTTGTGGATATAATTATATGTAACAAAAAATATATATTCAAGAGTGCCCGTTTCCATTACAAACTGTATCCATTAGAAACTATATCATCTCATAGAAATTCTTCTGCCTTCCCTTTTTCTCTTTTATTTAAATCACCTTTGGGGCTGATATTTTCAATGTACTGTCTTTACACAGTGGAGTTGTTCTTATTAATTTTGAGCAAAGTGCCTTAAACAAATTTTAATGGAGGAAGAGCGGAGTGCTGTTCCCCATCCCTCTCCACACACATTTTTATGAAGATCTGGAAGAGCTCTGCTGCCCTTAGGTGCATTTTATTCACATTACACGAATTGTGGAGAGGTCTGGGGTAGTGAGTCTGAAATTGGGCAGTGCAGATGTAGCCAGGCTGATTCCCCAAACTGTGGGAATGTTTGTGGGATGGGGAGGCAGGGATGGATCATCCCCAGGGCACCTCCAGTCACTGGAGCAGTGACTCCAGGCTGTTTGTCCCTGTCCCAGCAATGCTTGACCATCTCTGTGTCCATCCCCAGCTGTGCCTGTGTCCATCCCCATCCATCCTGACCATCTCTGTGTCCATCCCAGCCATATATGACCATCTGTGTGTCCTGTCCATCCATCCTGACCATCTCTGTGTCCATCCCCAGCTGTGCCTGTGTCCATCCCCATCCATCCTGACCATCTCTGTGTCCATCCCAGCCATTCCTGGCCATGCCTGTGTCCATCCCAGCCATATATGACCATCTGTGTGTCCTGTCCATCCATCCTGACCATCTCTGTGTCCATCCCCAGCCATGTCTGACCATGTCCATGTTCATCCCCAGCCATGTCTGACCATGTCTGTGTCCATCTCCAGCCATTCCTGACCATCTCTATGTCCATCCCTTCCAACCTGACCATCTCTGTGTCCCATCCATGCATCCTGACCATCTCTGTGTCCACCCCCAGCCATTCCTGATCATCTCTGTGTCCTGTCCATCCATCCTGACCGTCTCTGTGTCCACCCCCAGCCATTCCTGATCATCTCTGTGTCCATCCCCAGCTGTGCCTGTGTCCATCCCCATTCGTCGTGACCGTCTCTGTGTCCTGTCCATCCATCCTGACCATCTCTGTGTCCATCCCAGCCATGCCTGTGTCCGTCCCAGCCATACCTGACCATCTCTGTGTCCATCCCAGCCGTGTCTGACTGTCCGTGTGTCCGTCCCCAGCCATGTCTGACCATCTGTGTGTCCCTGCCCAGACATGTATGACCAGGTGCTGAAGTTCGGTGCGTACATCGTGGACGGCCTGCGCGAGTACCGGCAGCCGGTGCTGGTGTACATCCCGCCGCAGGGCGAGCTGCGCGGCGGCTCCTGGGTGGTCATCGACCCCACCATCAACCCCAGGCACATGGAGATGTATGCTGACAGGGACAGCAGGTACACACCTCTGCCTGCAGGGACACTCCTCGTGGCCTGGGTGGTTTCCGTGGGGTTGGACATGTGGGGCCTCGTCTGCGTTTTCAGCATGGAGAAAGTGGAGCTAAAAATTCCTCCAGTCTCCCAGATGGAGGAGGAATTGAACATCTGACTCTGTGTTTTTAGAAGGCTAATCTATTATTTTATGGTATTATATTAAAGAATGTTGTACTAAACTATACAGATATCACAGATATTTACAGACGGCTTAACACTGAAAAAGCTGTGGCTCCCGCCAGAGTCCTGACACAGCTGGACTGTGATTGGTCATTAAATAAAACCAATTCACATGATGGATAAAGAGTCTAAACTACATTCCAAAGTAGCAAAACACAGGAGAAGCAAATGAGATAATTACTGTTTTCATTTTTCTCTGAAGCTTCTCAGCTTCCCAGGAGAGGAAATCCTGGCGAGGGGATTTTTCAGAAAATACAACAGTGACAATTCTCCCTTTGTCCTGTCTCCCTCCCCGTGCTTTCCAGCAGGGGTTGAACCATTCAGTTTAGTGTCTGATGACACAAGGTCAGGTGCAAGAAGTGCTTTTCTGTTTTCCCCTGCAGGGGAGGGATCCTGGAGCCCGAGGGCACGGTGGAGATCAAGTTCCGCAGGAAGGACCTGGTGAAGACCATGCGCAGGGTGGACCCCGTGTACATGCGCCTGGCCGAGCGCCTGGGTACGTGGCACAGCCCCTGGGCACCCCTCGGGGCAGCTCAGCACTGCTTTTCACTTTTATTTACTGACGGTTTTATTTGCTGACAGTTTTATTTGTCTGACTTGGGAAGAAAACCAGTGAGACCACGGCAGGTGTGTGTGACCGTGTGCTCACAGGGGTCTGGGGGTGAGGGAAGAGATGAGGATCTGACTCGATGTTTCAGAAGGCTTGATTTATTATTTTATGATATATATTACATTAAAACTATACTAAAATAATGGAAGAAAGGATTTGATCAGAAGGCTGGCTGAGAATAGAATAGCAAAGAACAATAACAAAGGCTCTGTGTTGGACTCTCTGTCCGAGCCAGCTGACTGTGATTGGCCATTAATCAGAAACAACCAACATGGGCCAATCACAGATGCACCTGTTACATTCCACAGCAGCAGATAACCATTGTTTACATTCTGTTCCTGAAGCCTCTCAGCTTCTCAGGAGGAAAAATCCTAAAGAAAGGATTTTCCATAAGAGATGTCTGTGACAGGTGTGTACCTGTGAGATGGCGCTCATGCACGCTCAGCATACCCAGGGTGTGGAATATTGTGGGGTTTTGAGCTGATTTCTCTTTTTTATTATATTTTATTGACTGGGTCTCACAACAGACCCTCACTGCAGATGCTTGGGTCTAATTTCCAGCTCAGCAATTGCTCAGCTCACTAAAGGTTTGTGGGCCAAGCCTTCAGTGAGCGTTGTTTCACGTAAGGAAGGGTTTGATCAGAGACATTTGGGCTGCTGGACTGTCACTGAGTGTCTGGGGTAGTTTGCAGTAATGATATCTGTGTGCTCTTCAGCTCCAAGGGAATGAGGGATGTTGTCCATGTCTCTGTGAGCAGGGCTCAGTGCTGGGTTGTGTTATTACCACTCCGAGTGATCCCAGCGCCTGCTGTACACTCAACATCCCAAAATACAGAGTGTTCAGCAAAATGCACTTAATATCAGATATGTTCTCTCTTGGGGGAATAGGCTTTTTAAATAGTCCTTTACTGGCTCTTACTGTAAGAGTATAATCTTACAGAGCCTCCTTTTACCTCCAAAATTGACTACATTTCAGTGGAGGGAGAAGCGTGCCATGTGGGTATGGCTTGAATTTATAAAGCCTTTTGGGATCCTTCAGGAGGAAAAGTGTTCTGCAAATGACTGATAAATCCTGGCTATTGCTGCAGTTACATTTTATTATTTGGCTTTTTTTTAAAATTTATGGCAGGGCAACAATTTATAAACAAAACAACCCTCCTGATATGCCTCGGGAAGGGAATAGTAACGGGTGAAGGGTGAGGGGTGCCCTGGGATGGTGGAAGGTGTCCAGTTAAATGATCTTTAAAGTCCTTTTCAACTCAAACCATTCTGTTATTCCATTACTTAAATCCCAGTTTTAAAGTCTGCAGCTGCAGCAAGGAGGTTATTTTCAGCAAACCTCACTTTTGGCCTCTGTCAGATTTGACATTGTGCCTTTAGGAGCAAAGGGACAGCGACCACCCCAAACCATGGGGACCCAGCTCAGGACTGCAGGGAGAGGGAACAGAGCATCACCTTCACTCCCCTCTGTGGCTGCAGGACACCTGCAGGCCTCCCCTGAATCTGTGGGACACTGAAAAAACCCACAAGGGCAAAGATGGGAGAGTTTTCTGCCAACAGCCTCACAAACCCAGCTCCGTGTGAGGAGCCAGGAGCCTGATCAGGGCTTTCCCCCCTGTTCCTCTGCAGGGTAATTACTCCCAGCAAACTCCATACACTTTAATTAAAATGACTGCAACACAAGAGCGAGTCACTTACAACTGTACACAGGGAGAGCTCTAAAAGCTTCAGTCACTGATAAGCATCTCCCTGAGATGGATGTAATTGCTGCCAGCACCGCCTGATCATCGCTGTTGTTTTGCCACTAATTCCATACCAGAGCAGCAGAGCCAGGATTGCAGGACACACTGAATTGCATAATTTTTTTTTCCTTTTTTTTTTTCCTTTTTTATTTTATTTTTTTTTTTTTGCCGGTTTTCTTTCTGGCCAATTTAAAATTTGTCAAAGTCGGTCTTCTTCTGGATCACTGCCCTTTGATATTTCGCGCACTCCATTTGCCACAAACAAGCCGCAGGGCCGCGGTTCATGCTGACTCCAGCAGAAGCAGAGAAAGCTCCATTTATCTTACACTGCCTGCTGAATTCTTACTCATTAGCTGGGGGTTCACTGCCTCTCTTTAACCCCTGAGTGGCTGTCATCCCTGCCCGCAGCTCTGGGGAGCAGCACCGCGAGCTGCTCTCCCCCAGCCCACGCCGGGCTGGACGCGGTGCTTGGGGAGCTATTGAATCATTTGACACAAATCTGTTCATTATCAATTCTGCAGCGGCGTCGCTGAAATGTTGATTAGCCCCCGTGGTTTATTAAAGTGTCACTCAGGGTTGGGCTGCTCCAGCAAGGGGAGACAGGGTGGCCCTGGCCCAGGGCACGGCCCCACGTGGGCAGGGACATCCCACAGGTGTGCAGGGAGCACCCAGAAATGTGGCAGCGGGGCAGCCTGCAAGCCTTGGGCCACAGTTTAAAATACAGACACTCAGTTTTATTGTTTTATTACAATTGGACTAAAACACATCATGAAAATGAGCCTCATTGTACAGATGCTGTGTCAGAGGTGCGGGGAAATGGGTGCAAAAATGGGGTGGAATGTGAGTGAGAGGAATGGAGAATGGCTCCAGTTACAGCAAGGCTGGCTATTGCATTTCCATGTTTCTTGTAGGGAAAAGGCAGCATCCAGCCATCACCTGATGCACATTGTGATAGTGGGATGTCCTTGCTGGTCCTGTGAGGTGTGCTGTGTGCTGAATGCACCTCTGGTTTCATTTATTTCATTTATTTCATTTATTTCATTTATTTCATTTATTTCATTTATTTCATTTCCTAGGGCAGTCAGTCTGTGCTGCTGGGGCTTGGTTCACACCTTACTTGAGTATCCAAACTGCCTTTAAATTTCCAAATAATGAGTGAACACTCAAATATTCACCACTCAGCTCCACTTCAGCACAGCAGTTCCTCTCTGGAAATGAACATTTTGGGGTGCAGGACCAGAACTGACCCTCACTGCCAGTTTTTCAGGAAAACCAGGGAGGAACACTGCTCTTCTGATCCCACCTCTCATGTGGTGCTGGATAAACACAGGTTGTAACTTGGTTTTGTGGGTGATGCTGTTTCGGCAGCTGCATCCCTGTGCCGGTGCTGCTGCATTTAAATTGGTGTTAATTCACACTCACAGGCTCCCAGAGCAAGCCCTGCTTTCTCTCAGCCCCTCCTTGGTACTGAGATATCCTCCCAGAGGGGCTGGGGTTGGAATTTTATTGGAATTGTGTCCCTGCCACACTTGAGGTGCTGGGAAATGAGACCTGAGGAGCAAAGGGAGGGGAGGGCAGGGTGGGAACCACAGGGATCTGTGCAGGGATATTTGCAGCCTGTGCCACGGGCTGCTGTGACCTTCACTGGCTGTTCATGCTGCACCTTTCTGACATAAATCCTGCTGAATATTTAGTGAAGCAATTACAGCCTGTCTCATTTAAAGAAACAAGAGACAATCCAAAAATGCCTGTCTCTCCGGGGACGTGAGTGGCTCCCTGTGACCTTCCCTCTCCCCTCAGGCTGGGGGAGTTTCTGGGCAGCCTGGACACCTTTGGCATTTTTGCTGAATTTTCTGGAATCCCAGGATGGCTGGGATTGGAAGGAGCCCTAAAGCCCATCAGGGACACCTTCCATTATCCCAGGTGCTCCAAGCTCCATCCAGCCTGGCTTGGGCACTGCCAGGGATCCGGGGACAGCCCCAGCTGCTCTGGGCACCTGTGCCTCCCACCCTCACAGGAGGGAATAGATTTGTGTCTGGCACTGTTTTGCACAAGGCAGGAGCAGAGGAGGTGAGGTTCAGGTGTGAGGCTGCTGCTGCAGGTGTGGAGTGAGGTGGGACCCCAGGCTGCTGCTTTCCCAGGGCACCTTTCCAGCCTGGTTTGGGTGCTTCTGCTGCTGATTGAAAAAGAAGAGAGCAAAGCTTGTGGAAGCAGGAGGTGCTGGGTGCTCCCTGCCCTGGGGCTCTGGGGGTGTTGGAGCAGAGCTGAGGTGATTCCCAGCCCCTTCCAGAGTCATGGGCGGCTGCAGGGGAAGCTGCATTCCAACAAAAAGGTGCCATTCCCTGGTCCTGCAGAGCCTGCCCTGTGCTCCCTGCCAGGCCAGGACGGTCACTCCTGTCCCTGGTGCTGATTAAAAGAGAACAGAGCAAAGCTTGTGGAAGCGGGAGGTGCTGGGTGCTCCCTGCCCTGGGGGCTCTGGGGGTGTTGGAGCAGAGCTGAGATGATTCCCAGATGATTCCCAGCCCTTCCCATCCCAAGCCATGGTGCCAGGGCTGCTGCATTCCAATAAAAAGGTGCCATTCCCTGGCCCTGCAGAGCCTGCCCTGTGCTCCCTGCCAGGCCAGGAGGGTCCCTCCTGTCCCTGGTGCTGCCCCACCTGTGAGTGCCAGCTCTGTCCCCATGGAATGGGGCTGTCTGGAGCACTGCTCCTTTTGTTTCCCTATTGATTAGCAGCCAATCCATACCTGGAGGTCTATAATGCTCCTATGATTTAAACTTTAACAGTTTCATTAACTGTCAAGTACCTCTAGAGCAAAGGAATCCCATATTTTAACTCCCCTCTCCTTGCCAGGATAAGATTTGTGGAAGGAGACTTCTTTTTTTCCCTTTTATTATTATTTTTTTTTTTTACCTTAAGAAATAAATAAATAAATACCAGGCTTTCTGAAAAACCCTGAGGCCTTGAGATCTGACTAGGAAAGAAAGAAAACCATTCCAAGATATTTAATTGTACAGGGGGCTTACGGGATTGATCGAGAGCTTAGCTTTTTACAATGGTGCAGTGAATAAGAAATGCTCCTGACAAACGATCGATGATGGGATAATCACTCTTTATCCCCCCTCCTCATTGTTACCTTCTTTCTTCCAGGAGAACAGGGTTCAGAAGTCAAAAATCTTTATAGACGCTGCTTTTAAATTAAGCAGAAAATAGACATTGACATATTTGTTAATCTCACCTAAATCATTACTGGGCCTGCCTGGGTGGACTCGGTGGCAGGGGCTGGAATTCACCAGCAGGGCTGCCCTGAGTGCCTGTGCTGCCATTGAAACCAGGGAGCCTGGGCCTTCAGCCTGGATAAATACAGATAATTTTTTATTCTGAAGGTTACAAGGGGAGCTTCTCTTAATTAAAACCTTCTTACTCGCATCTGAAGGGTTAGGTAACATTTATATTGGTGGGCACAGGGAAAGCATTCCTTCCTTGGGAAGGATCTCTGTCTGGAGGGGTTGTGCCTTGGAGAAATACATATATGGGGTGTGTGAGCAGGTACTGAAATAATAACATATATGGGTGTGTGAGCAGGTACTGAAATAATACAAATATTGGGTGTGTGAACAGGTACTGAAATAATAACATATATGGGTGTGTGAGAGGCACTGAAATCATACATATATAGTGTGTGAGCAGGTACTGAAATAATAACATATATGCGTGTGTGAGAGGCACTGAAATCATACATATATGGGTGTGTGAGCAGGCCCTGGGGTGCTCAGGCCACTGGGCAGCTCCTCCCTTTGGTCCAGCAGCCTTGGATCATCGTGCCTGTGGGAATGAGGCGTGGAAGGAGCAGCAGCATCCTGGGATGGAGCTGTCCCAGCTCCCAGCTGTGGTTTAGAGGCTTCCTGAGCACACATTAATATCTGAACTCATGCTCAGGAGCCTGTGCTGGAATCTCCTTGCATGGATTTGTCTGATCACCCTCTGTGAGCGCCTTTGGGCCCAGTGGCAGTGAATTCCAGCCTTGGATTGTGCACTGGGTGAGGCTGCTCCCTCCTGGGGTTTCTGTAAAGCTTCTGCTCAGTGGTTTGAGCTGGGTTTGTGGGCTTGGGGGTGCTCTGGTTCCTGCTGTGATTGCAGAACCCCTGAGAGTTCTCCTAAAGGAGAGCTTGCAGTGGTGGAGGTGGTGTGCCATGCTCTGTGTTTCCTGCTAAATGAGCAGCAGTGTTGGGACATTATTCTCTTTTAGGAGTAAGCCCTGTAAATGTCACTTAATTGATGGCTTAGATGGTTGGCATTTAAATGGAGCAGAGTTTCCATGGTGAAAACACCCTCAGAGCCCTTGCCTGAGTCTCTGTGGCACAAAATCTGGGCTGGAGCAGGGATTTGCTGGGCACTGCTGGGAGCTGATGCTCCGGGGCTTGGCCTTTGGCTTTCCCAAGTGCTGGACTGCCTGGAACTGCAGCCCTGAGCTTCCCCAGGGTCTGATCTGTGACTCCTGAGCTGTGTGTGTGGTTTCAGGCACCCCCACGGTCTGATCTGTGTGTGGTTTCAGGTATCCCTGCAGTCTGCTCTGTGTGTGGTTTTGGGTACCCTGAGCACCCCCAGGGTCTGATCTGTGTGTGGTTTTGGGTACCCTGAGCACCCCTGGATTCTGATCTGTGTGTGGTTTTGGGTACCCTGGATTCTGATCTGTGTGTGGTTTTGGGTACCCTGGATTCTGATGTGTGTGTGGTTTCAGGCACGCCCGAGCTGAGCCCGGCTGACAGGAAGGAGCTGGAGGCCAAGCTGAAGGAGAGGGAGGAGTTCCTGGTGCCCATCTACCAGCAGGTGGCCATGCAGTTCGCTGACCTGCACGACACCCCCGGCAGGATGCAGGAGAAAGGAGCCATAACCGTGAGTGACCTGGGCAGGGGGCTGGAGCCAGAGCCTCTGTGAGCCTGTGCAGCTCCTGGGGTCCCACAGCTTCCCTGGGGACGGGGCTGGAGCAGAGCCTCCATCTCCATGGACAGCTCCTGGTGGGACAGGGTGGGATCCCCGGGGGAGTCTCCATGCAGTCCTAGCCTGGGTTTTAGTTTGGGAATGAGCTGTGTCTGTTCCTGCCGTCCCTCACTGCTGTCCCGTGCCCCGGGCAGGACGTCCTGGACTGGAAAACCTCGCGCACGTTTTTCTACTGGCGGCTGCGGCGGCTGCTGCTGGAGGAGGCCGTGAAGAGCAAGATCCACGAGGCCAACCCCGAGCTGACGGACGGGCAGATCCAGGCCATGCTGCGCCGCTGGTTCGTCGAGGTGGAGGGCACGGTGAAGGTCAGTGTGGGCTGGGGGCACTGACCACCCTGACCCCCTGCCAGCGTCTATTTTATTTTATTTTATTTTATTTTATTTTATTTTATTTTATTTTATTTTATTTTATTTTATTTTATTATTTTCTATTTTATTTTATTATTTTCTATTTTATTTTATTTTATTTTATTTTATTTATTTTATTCTATTTATTTTATTCTATTCTATTCTATTTCATTCTATTCTATTCTATATTCTATTCTATTTTATTCTAATTTCATTCTATTTTATTTTATTCTATTCTATATCCTATTCTATTCTATTCTGTTTTATTCTCTTCTGTATTTTATTCTATTTTATTCTGTTCTACTTCATTCTATTCTGTTCTATGCTATTTTATTCTATTTTATTATATTCTACTGTTCTATATTTTATTCTATTTTATTCTATTTTGTTCTATTCTTATATTTTTTCTATTTTTTCTATTTTATTTTATTATACTTTTTCTATATTTCTATATTTCATTCTATTTTATTCTAATTTCATTCTATTTTATTTTATTCTATTCTATATCCTATTCTATTCTATTCTGTTTTATTCTCTTCTGTATTTTATTCTATTTTATTCTGTTCTACTTCATTCTATTCTGTTCTATGCTATTTTATTCTATTTTATTATATTCTACTGTTCTATATTTTATTCTATTTTATTCTATTTTGTTCTATTCTTATATTTTTTCTATTTTATTCTATTTGATTTTATTTTACTTTTTCTATATTATTCTACTTTATTTCTCTGTTTTTTCTATTTTATTCTATTCTATTCTATTCTATTTAATATAATTTTATTTATTTTGCTTAATTTTATGTATTTAATAATTTAATTTTCCTTTTTTACTATATTACTTTATTTAATTTTATTTCTTTTGTTTATTTATTTATTTTATTTTACTTTATGGTACTTTATTTTACTTTGCTACTTTATTTATTTTACTTTATTTATTTTACTTTATTTATTTTATTTATTTTACTTTATATTTTAAATGTCAGTGTTTTATATTTTAATTCTATTTTTTTTCGTTCTGTTTTTGAAGTCCCCAACACGCAGGGGTTCCAGGGAAGGGGGGATGTTCTCTGGAGGGCAGCAGCCTTTCCAAGGTAGAGCCTGAGCTCTCCAAAAGCAGGCAGCTCGTTAGCTAATACATTACACCAATCAAGGAGAGTTATCTTAAGCCACAATTAATCTGCTCCCTGGCATATGTTGATAGGGAAGCATCATGCTGTTTCTTAATTAAAAGCAAACGGATTAAAAATGATTAATAAGAGTATTAAATATTCTCCTAAACGAAAAGCTTTGGGATTCTTGGGTAAATGGAGCTTTCCACAGGTCTGGGGCTGTGCTGCAGCTTCCCGGGCTGGGCTTTCCCCCCTTCCCTGGAAGCTGCCTTTGTATGCAGGGACTGTTTGCTGCCTGCCAGGGGCACGGGCAGGGAGCAAAACTCCGAGTTCCAAACCTTAATAAGGAGAAAAACAATGAAATAAGCAAAATCTCGAAGTGACATCACCGGGCTGAGACAATCAGAGACATTGAGTGAAAGGAAATGAAATAATTGAAATAATCCTGGGGTTTCTGAAGTGTGCCAGGGCTGCGATGGGCTCTGACACCAAAATTCCTCCCTGGCAGGGTGGGCAGGCCCTGGCACAGGTGCCCAGAGCAGCTGGGGCTGCCCCTGCATCCCTGGCAGTGCCCAGGACAGGCTGGGCAGGGCTGGGACAGTGGGAGGTGTCCCCTGTGCACAGCTCCTGACAGGAGGGGACAGCCAGGGAACAGGGACAGAGGAGAGGGAGCAGCCTCAGGCTGGGCCAGGGAAGATCTGCGTTGGATATTGGGAAAATTCCTCCTTGGAAAGGAAATTCCTGCATGGAAAAGGGAAATCCTCCATGGAAAATGAAATTCCTCCCTGGGAAGGGCTGCCCAGCCCTGGCGCAGCTGCCCAGGGCAGTGCTGAGTCCCCATCCCTGGAGGAGGGATTTGAAATCCCTGTGGATGTGGCACCTGGGGACACGGTCAGTGGTGGCCTGGGCACTGTGGGGAATGGTTGGACACGGTAACCCCAGAGGTTTTTCCAGCCCCAATGACTCTGTGACTCCTGGCTCTGTGTCCCAGAGGTGCCACCACGGTGTCACCACCCCCAGCTCATTGTCATTCTGCCTTTGACTTGGTTAGTGATAACAGAGAAGGATAGTGCACCTTTAAATGAGGAGCTTTGTGTTTAATTACCCAAATAAAATGACATAAATATGAATGAGTGCTAATGGCAGTACTTGCTTTTCCGGAAACCATTAACAAAACGATTCTTAAATGATTTGTAAAGAAAATGAGAGGAGAGGAGAGAAGGCTGTTAGGGGCTCACACTCTCCTGAGTTATTACACAGCCAACTATCTAGCAAATATCAGGTGAAATGATCTTGTGAAAGGCACAAAGGGGGTCGTGGCTGAGGGTCCAGGCACTCCAACCTGCTGATGATTTAGCACTGGGACAATCCCTGCAGCAGCTGCATGTCAGGTCAGCCATGTTCCACCAGAACTTGGGGAGCTGATAACCAGGGAGACAGGGATTTATCTGGGACAGCTCAGCTCGTTCCCTGCAGCACTGACCAAGCACCTCCTTGGTCCCCTTCTGTCACAGTTATGGCAGGATGCAAAGGAAATGGATAATCCTTGACCTTGTGCTGATTGTTAGGTGTGTTTGTGGGGTGAATCTGGGCAGTGGCAGGGCTGGGTGCAGGCTGAGCTGTGGCATTTTGGTGCAGGCCTACCTGTGGGACAGCAACAAGGACCTGGTGGAGTGGCTGGAGAAGCAGCTGACGGAGGAGGAGGGCGTCCGCTCGGTGGTGGAGGAGAACATCAAATACATCTCGAGGGATTATGTGCTCAAGCAGATCAGGAGGTGAGCAGAGAGGGTGGCAGCAGGGCTGGCTGCAGAGTGGGCAC